GTATATTGCAGGAGCTGGTATCGTCTATATGTAAAAATCCACGTTGAGGACCATGAAATCCTTCTGACACTCGATTAAAAAAATTGAGAAAGGAGAGAGAGAGAGAGAAATAAAGGAGAAGTTGAAGACATGTACCAGAAAAAGATCAAAAAGCAGGTAATAAGAGATATTTCAGAAAAGACACTGAGCTCACGAAGGAATTTTTGTAAAGTAGTGGAGACCTGCAAAGATCAGACAGATGTCTGTGCATGCATACAAATTAGTGGTTTTCTGCAGTGAACTTTGCAAAATTAAGATATTTGGTGGATGATTAGCATTCATGTCATAAAACCTCAGTTAACAAAGAGAAAGATGAATGAAGACTGTGGTCTGCTTTTTTCTCTACTAGTGATTAGTGGTATGGTAAAGGGGAACTGAGGAGATGGATGAATGTGTGCCTGAAAATGGAAGATAGGGGTGAATTTGAAAGGGCTGACGTAGCAAGGGAACTTGAACTAAAGGTAGTGACCACTGAATCAGCAGATAAAGAAAAGTCAGGTGGAGAAAGAGAGACAATAAAAGCAGCAGGGTCAAATAAATTGATGGATTGGGGGTTCAAAAAGAGCTGAAAGATAAAGTAGTGGGTGATTTGTGGAGGAATGGGTCATGTGCACACAGAGCAAGGCTCAGCATATTAAGCTCAGTATACCAGAAACTGAATCACAACCAAGAGTCAATGAAAACTCACTAGCGGTCTTCTGAAGCTAAGACAGTAGCTGATAATTTGACATGAAAGAAATTAGAAGGAAAAATGGACAATATGTAAGAAAACAGGCAGGAAGTTTCACCTTAAAACAGCAAAGACTTGATGGCTTAGATGAAGAATCACTACAGATTTCTATAGCATAGTTAGACTTTTAATTATATTTGCAACAAAATATTTCCTCATATTCCGCTCTGAAATCTGTCCCCTTCCATGTAAGGCTGAGGTCTTTCCTGAGCTCCTAAAGTAGTGAGCTTACAGTGTTACAGAACTGGATTCTTGTTGATCACAGCAGCATGGCAGTGAGATGTCACTAAAATATGTTGTGTTACATCCATTTCTGTTTTATAGAAACAAGGAAAGGATCTGGCCCCATTTCATAATAAATCCAAAGAATACATAATGCATGCATTTGACTGTTGTAAATGCTGACATTTTTTTCTTTCTCATTTCCTTATTGCCGAAAGTAACTTATTGCATAGTCTTATAGAATTAGTCTGGATATATTATTGTTGGAATTTACATACACACTTCTAGGTTAGCATAAAGATCAAATGTTGTATTTCTCCTCTGTGTTGAATGAACTTACCAGAGTTTCTGCTGTTCGTTAAAAGAATTTCTAAATCCAGCAATTAATGCTCACTTTTTAACTGAAGGAAAATTGAATGAATGACTGTGGTATGAATAGTTTCGTGGGTGAGGACATAATGGCTTCAAATTTAAGAATCCAGTTAATGCTAAACAGAAGTTTCAGAATGTACCTTTTTTGTTTAGTTGATTTTGTTTTGTTGGCTTTTTTGTTTCGTTTGTTTGTTTCCCAGAATTAATGCATATCTCCATGCACAATAATTGTCACTGTTGCTTGAAATAAGTGTAAAACGCATACGTTTTCTCCTTCATGACTACATATTGAACTTGCCCTTGTATGTTATAGGCATATTTACTGGGTCTTAACAGAAACACATTCGCCTGGTAGAAATTTTTGTGACCTGAAAAACTCAGATATATCAAATAACATGTTAATCAACTTCATTTTGATGAAGCAACTGGAAACATTGTCTCAGTTATATTTATTGCATGTAAATAAAATTTCTACATATGCAATGAAAACATGAGCTGTTTTAAATCATTAAACCAGAAAACCTCCAACAACAGCAGTAACTGGCCTTTACAATTCTCTAACTATTAGCATTCAATTTTTTATCAAGAGAGATTTATTGATATTTTATATCTCTAAGTTGGGTAGAAGGAATTTTCTGTTAAAAAAATGTGGTGTTTGTTAGATATATGACCATGTTTTCTTCTTTACTTGTTACTTTAAACAACAAATTATGCTTGAAGACTCACTTTTTCATAAATGCTTAATATAATTAATCCCAGTAATTATATTGAAAACATTTACTTAATAAAATGAACAGCTTTAGCCAGGTCTACATGAAAAGTTATAAAATTTTTGTATTTGAATAGCAGTGGTTTAACTTAAAAGTAATTAACTACATATTAGAGAGCTGCTCTTTTATTTTTCTTTGAATATAGATAGTTCAAAGAATGTACACCTCATTTCAATGACTGATAAAACAGTTCTACCACAACCTAAAAGTAACTAAATAGTTAATATTATGCTGAATGTGAACAGAAATTGGATAGTAAATTGAAGACCTTTATATGGTTGACAGTTATATTTCAAATTTTTATTGGTCTGCCTAAAAAAGTTTTCTTTCTTGAATACTATTCAGGAATATATGAGCACAGCTATGCCCTTGTCTTCTGCTGAAATATAGTTATTGAATAGACATTTAGTTGAAAATGCTCAGGTTTAAAAATATTGTCTAATTCTCAGCTGCTGTTGATTGGTCTGGAAGACAAGATTAAAAACTTTTACGTGTGAAATCTAGCTGTCTGAAATGGAAAAGAAGATGGACCTCTTAGAAGGAAAATATGTGTAATGTGTAATTGATCACTTTAACTGATCAATTAAAATGATTAAATGTGTGGCAGATTTATATCCTGTACCTGAAAATATACCAAACTACACTAAGAGTCAAGGCATTTATCAAAGCTCTATTTTCTACTGTACTTGTAACTGTGATATTCATTATCCATTAAAGGCATGATAATATGGAATCCTTGTTCAAAACCTACATACTGGAGAACTCCTTGGATTCTCAAACTGTACCAGTACTGATACAGTTTAAATATTTTATGTTACAGGCAGAACACAGAAAAATGTAACAGAAAGTCAAACTCAGAGCTGACAGAGCATTCACTTCATTTGGACTTTTATGTCTATTGTTCAATTTAAAAAAAAATTCATTTCAATTATCCACTTTTATATTGTTCCTTTTAGAAAAGTGAAAAGAGTTGCCTAGCAAACTTTGGGTATAGTCAGAAAATTACACATCTGCATGCAAAACTGCTAATCAACCTATCCGAATTGGCCTGCTGTTTATGCAGAAAGAGATTTTGCTGGTGCAGTGAGTTCTCTTTCTGAAAATTTCAACATTATTTGAAATTTTAAGTTTTCTTTCAAGATCCTTGGAAAATCATAGTCCTTATGATAAAATGTATTCATTCATTGTAAGGCAAGCAATAAATCCCTAAGTGTATTTCCACACAAAAGCCTGTAGGAAAAAGAAAAGCTATCACAGGAAACTCTTCTGCTAAGAATATTCTGGCCTTTTGCCCCTAAAAAAGGATAGGACTTTATTTTGGGCATAGAATTTGAATTCTTTTGGACTTCCCAGATCTGGGGAGCAGGAAATGCTTCATGTCTATACAAAAGATCTGAAGTAAGAGAGGAAAAGAAATGATGCATGAAGAAATGATGCACTTTCCTACTACTCTTAACACACATAAATTTTTTTTTGCTGTCAGAACCTCACGCTCTTCTAATGGGAGGCAGAATCTGGGGGAAATAAGGAGGGAAGCAAATAGTAACTTCCTAGATGCTAACATAAGGATACTTAGAGAAGTGATATATATTCCTGTGTGCAGTCTTTGCCTATCTAAGGTGGTGTGACTGTGACTCTGTAACAAGTTTAACAATCTTAATTATGCAGAACTTTTTATCCTTTAAAATATTTTATGCATAAATAACTCACTACCTTACACTGCCAGTCTCAAAAACATGACTAACCCTGGTGAAGATTCCAAAAGTATCAAAGTTGTATTTCAAACAAAATCCAGATAATTCCAAAATCTGAAACTAACTTTTAAAGATCTGGAGTAAACTAAATATATACATCAACATATTCAGAAGTAAATTTTCACTGACCCTTAAGATAGGTCATCATCCTTCTATTATGTTTTTAATTGATACCATTAGATCAGTCATGCACTTTAAAAACAGAAGTTGTATAGGTCACATACAACTTCTGTTGTATCATTTCTATAATTTTTAGAGATCTATCATTTTTTAGATATCTGTCTAAGATATGAGTGCTTTGTTAATAACAACAAATTCATTGAAGGCTTTATGTATTTTGCATAGCTTGAATCCAAATGTGATTGCAATGTACATTGACTTTTCTACAAATATTAGAAGCTTAACTTTTAAAATTTTAAATTGAAGTTAATAATTTTCAGTAATTGTAAATAAAAATTGCTCCTTATAATTAAAAAAAAAAATTAAACAATGTGTCTAGCATTCTGACACTATTGCTTTGATACTGTCACTATTATATTATGGTAACAATATTCTGTGTGAGTAGCTGATATATTTTTACTGTGCTAATTGTAAATCAACTGTTCTTTTGCATTTTATTAGACACCCCCTGTAAACAATCAAAAAGCTAAGAAAAGCAGTCAAATTACACCAACAAATGCTTCTAAATCTTCTTCCACATCTTTTACAATGTATTCTTAATTCCTCCTGGACAGACAATATTACAGCTTTTTGATTGTGGAGACAAAGTATGCAATGTCTTCTGGAAGCCTGTCCCTGGAAGAGACTAGGAGACAGGCAGGAGATTCAGCTGGTAGGTAGTGATCAAGGCATGGACAGGATTAATGCAACAAAGTGACAAAGCAGCACAGAAACCTGGAAAATAGGGAGCCAGAAATCACTTTGCAGAAGTTACTGCAAGACTCAGAAGGATAAAATGCTCACAAAAGACATGAATTTCCTGCAGCTTTGGCTTCGTCACCTCCAGTGCTCAAGCCAATACACTACTGTTGTTCTGCTCTCCTGCTGCTAGGTCACTCGAAGGTATAATCTACTTGGACCACCTCCACCTCAGAGCAAAACACAAAGTCTTACCTCAACAATATCTGAATTTGTTCGACTCTCATGTGGCTCATTATACTCCGTATATTTCAGCAACACTTTGTCCATATCAGTGCTGGCATACTGGAACAGTTTGTTGGTGCTGTTGAAGATGATTAGAGCAATCTCACAGTCACACAGAACACTAAGCTCATAAGCCTTCTTCATTAACCCAAATTTCCTCTTCGTAAAAGTCACCTGGAAAGAAAAGCGAAAAAGGTCCATCAGAAAACCACAAGTTGCTCTCTGTAGTCTTTCTTCTTTTTTTCTGAGCTATAATGTCTGAGTGCTTTGTCTTTGCATCGAACATGCTCAGAAAACAAATCAATAAAAGAACTCATAAAAGAGTTCCAACATAGAATATACATGTATGTGTGTTGTATGTATTACACAAGGGAGAAATACCTAATTATCATTGCATGAAACTTGAGATACAGGTAAGGACCATGGGGTATTTTCATTTACTGGTGCTATGAAGTGTTGATACTGCAACTTTAACTTTTAAATTCAGATATCCTTTAGATGGCATACATCTTTCCCATCAACATTTGCAAAGTGCACCTCAGATGAGTAGCTGTAAATACTTTGAACAAGTGCAGTCAATTCTGGTAGCAATTGGCTTTGATTTCAAGCCCCTCAACTCCTGCTATCTTTGAAGCAAAGAAACTATTTCATAAGCATTTAAGTATTGCAAAAGAGATACATTGCTCATATAAACACACTCATCATACTTTTGAAGAAATAGCTAGTGTGAAAAATGGCACTCATGAGAAAAGAGAGTTATAAAGCATGAAAGAAGAAAATATCTGGTCAGCATCCTTTGAAACAAAGTCTTTTTTGAACACACACACACACACACACACACACACACACACACACACACACACACATCATATTTTATTTCATTTCAAGGCATATGCTTAGGAATATGAACTGGCATTTTTAGTACACAGGGCTTTAGGTCATATAATATATGAAAGAAATAGGGATGTTCTTGCAAGTTTTCAGTAGGCCAGCAAATGCCCCTACATAATTGAATTTAACATCAATTGAATTTAACACATGGCCAAGGTACTTGGTATATCAAGGACAGGCACACAACTAAGTTTTTTGGTCTGCCTGATTTTACATTTGTTTCTACCATCCCTTATATACCCATAAACAGCAACACCTCTGCACATTAATGCTGTGGCAAGAAGATTTGTCTGTCTGAGATTCATATGACTAGTGTTTTAAATTGTCACACTTCTTCTTATCACACTTGTCACAAATTAATGCTATGTGCAACCCCAGATTACCTTAAAGTCCCAACATGTCAGGCCAAGGAAAATGCAACTTTTTAAGTATTGCTAATCCCTATTTGTTAGATTATTTCAGAAACACGAGGCTTTGTGTCCTTACTGTCCGAACACTTATTCTCCCAAATGCATACCGAATGTTATTCCTTTTATTTTAATTTAAATAATTTTAACTTCTGTCAACATACTGTTAAGAATAGATGGATTGCCATTAAACACAATTATTCAAGCATTTAAAAAAGACCACTTTCTACAGCACTAATCTCAAGTATGCATAATTTACAGTTTTTTCTAAATTTGTTTATCATGGTTTTTGGTATTTAGAATGAATAATGAGATAGGTAACAAAACTTCATTAAAATTCTAAATAATAATAATAATAATAGTAACAACAATAATAATAATAATAATAATAATATTAAAAAATCCTTGTCTTAAAATACTCCCTTAATGGTTTCTCTGATTACAGGAAAATGCAATGAAATGCTTGAAAGATACACACATATATAGCTATATGTGTGTATGTGTATATATATATATATGTAAAAAAGCTCATTTTAGAAATAATTAGCGATACAGAAAATAAAATGTACTAATTCAACATATTTTTCTGCATCTAACATGTCTTTCAGTCAAATTTTTACCACAGTGCTGTAGGTGGAGTATCTCTGCATTTTGCTTGCTTTTCATTCAAGTCCACCCCAGCACAAAAATATCCTTAAAGCCAGTGTTTATGTCTAATATTTTGAAAAAACACCTGTCTGTGCTGCAGAGCAGATACTTAATTTCTAATATTTATCACCAGAGTGATACTGGTTAGAGTCATATTTTATGGACAGTGAAAAACCCACAAACCAGAACAATGAATAATCCAGATCTTAATTTTCTCTTTCTTTAATATGCAATCATAATTGCTCTGAATTTGATATGGTTTTAATTTCTTGATCTTCCTATATTATCTTCCTGATATTTTTTACATTGACCAGATAATGCCTTCTGTAACTGATAATTAATGAATTAAAGGCAATTGTGTCTAATACTGTTCCACTACTTGTGATTTGGAATTTTAATTTTTGAATATGTAATTCATATGGTTTATCTTTATGCATACATTATCCATATACATAGATGTAAATTTATTATGCTTTTATAAAAGTTTATAATACAGAACTTTTCAAATGTAGAGTGAAACGTCATGTCAGTGACTTCACAAAAAATACTAATACTCTTCAAGCCATTTAAAAAACAAAACTACCTTTTTTCATGCATTCTTCTATGTGGCTACACAATGAAGATGAATATGCCATATGCTAAAATACTTTTGTGAGCAATATAAATAAACAGAATGTTTATTATTTAACTTTATTTGATCAGTTTGTTCACCATTTGCTATGCTAACCATTCTCGTCTGCACCAAAATATATTAAAATTAAACACCATCTAATAAATATTCTCTAAGGTAGCAGATGATATTCTAGTAATGAAAAGGTTTTGTTGAGAGGTAAAAATTACCTAAATTATTTAAAACTTCTGTTCTCTTTTGTCTAGTTGGAAGGCAGTGTGGAATCTTCACTGAAAAATCTCTGATTATGCTTGAACTGACTTAGTGCTGAGAATCAACAAGACAGTCACATTGTCATGAACACAAACAGTAGCTATATCACCAAAAAATTCATGTGTTGACATAGTCTTGTAATTATAATTTGTGTTCAAAGTACTCAGTCTTGATAGTGTCATACAACAACTGACAATGTCACCTTGTCAACTGACATAAACAATGCTAGTGACACTGAAGGAAAACACACAAACAGTATGAAAATTCATTAACATATTTCAAATAAGATGCCCCCAAAAATGCATACTCTTTGATATCTCTGTAACATTTAATTTTTTCAGCAGCAACAATCAAATCACTACATGTTATTTCCTGACAATATTAGTGAACATATGCCTAATTATCCCCACTATCTACATCACTGCTAATTTGCAGATTTTTCAGGTAACAAATCTGCTTCTTTTTAGGAGAACGATAAGCAGTTCAGAAGATCCTTTTGGGATAGAATATTTTATAATGACAGGGCGAAAATGAAAAATTAAAGTGGAGTGTAAGTGGAACAGATAAGAGGCAGATAGTCAATGGTCTTTAAAACCTTTTAAAGCATGTGCATATAAAACACGAGGTTTTTGACAATGATACAATTTCTAAATACTTGTATGAGATACTTGAATGCATTGTTTTATATATATTGCAAAAAGAGCAGGGTGTGGAGATCACGAAAATTATTTCTGAATCCAAACAAAAACAATTCAATTCTATCCCTTTGTATTAACTCAAAACCCACTACTCTTTTATGTTTGTCTTAAAACTATAGTTATTCTACTTATTTAATTTTTTAAATTTATTTTAAATGTAATTGTCATCTTAATAAGAATGGTGGTATCAAGAAGATAGGTACTAAAGTCTGAAAAAAAATTTTATATGAATAAGCATTAATGCTTATGACTTTGTATGGTGTAAGCTAATCAAGATGAGTAACATCTTTGTTTTTATTTGATTTTTATTTGATTATAAAAATACTTACAGTTAAGTATTTAACTTTCAATTTCCTTGATATAAATCAAAGTGAGCTTTTTATATATTTTGGATGAAGTTCTAACTAAAGGTGAAATGTGCTAAAAGAAAGGCATTGAATAAAGATAATTGTTTAAAGGGAGATTTTCAGCTTCAACTCTGGCTCTTCAGTTCTATGGAAGCAGCTTTCAAATGGACAAGTCTATATCTGCAAGTGAAGCCATAGAGTGTCTGAATTCGAGTGTGCATGTCACACGCTGATATGCTCAATTTAGAGGAAAATTTGGTGCAGAGAAGACTTTCTTGTTTAATCATTATTAAATTAAACTTACTTAAACTATATAAATTAGAAGGTACTGTCACTTGGTTGCAATCACAAATTCTTTCATCTGCCTAAATTTTAATTTAGCAATGTGGGTTTGTAAATTGGGATGCTATCCATTGGAATTATATTATATATATTTTTAAGTAAATTTGTAACAACAGTTTTATAATTTTTATTGATTTTAATATACCAGTAAAGAAACAGAAGCATCCGTAAATAATATCATTTAATGGATATAGCCTGAAGGATGCATGATCTATGATTTTTCCATGTGATCATTGTGTCTTTCTTTTGATGGGAGTTGGTTTGGGATTAGTTTAATTCAGTTAAGTTTAGTTTTATTTTTAATTTGGATTCTTTGAGTAATTTTTTCTGAAATCTCACAAACTATGAGAAGCTGGACCATAACACCACTCCATATGCGTCACTAGTAGTCACAGCACATGTGCAAACACTATGTTTCCAAAGTATCAGTCCCATGACGTTTCAGGTGATTCAGTCCAGCCTGTGTTAGAATATCAGTGCTCTCCTTACTTCTTTCTATTCTCACTATACAGATATATAGCTGCTGACATAGGAAAATGAGAAACACAGAATTTTCACAAATGCTTCCCAAGTATATTTCCTGCCATTAAACTGGTGAAGAAGAGGGATCACTGATGCACAGAAGTATCTGATAATGGCACCATGTTGTCAAAAATAAATGTTATCTGTTTGTCCTTATTTCATCTGGAATGTCTAAATTTCTGACACAGGGACTAGAACAAGTACAGTAGATATGATGTATGTGATAAATAGGAGGCACTACGTGAGCAGTCTACCCAGCTTCAAACATAAGGCCAAGCTGACCATATATAATCAGAGGGGCTCTTTACTAAAATGTTACTGCCAAGAACATAAGCCTATCCTGTTGAAACATCAAATAACTACTGGAGAGGCAAAAACTGTTGTCATATTCTCTCTTCCCTTTTTCCTCTTATTTTCCTCTGATTTTTGTTTAGAA